GTCACAGTTGGCGGCGTCTGGGGAGCTGCGCTGCGACCATCACTGTCTTGGCAGCAGCAGGATGGACGGCCATTGCCTCAAACTGACACGCGATCCAGTGTGGAGGCCCGCCGGCACTGACGCCTCACAATCTACCTGCTTGTGCGTGGAGAGAGGCGTCAGGGTGTGGAGAGAGGCGTCAGGGTGTGGAGAGAGGCGTCAGGGTGTGGAGAGAGGCGTCAGGGTGTGGAGAGAGGCGTCAGGGTGTGGAGAGAGGCGTCAAGGTGTGAAGAGAGGCGTCAGGGTGTGGAGAGAGGCGTCAGGGTGTGGAGAGAGGCGTCAGGGTGTGGAGAGAGGCGTCAGGGTGTGGAGAGAGGCGTCAGGGTGTGGAGAGAGGCGTCAGGGTGTGGAGAGAGGCGTCAGGGTGTGGAGAGACGTCAGGGTGTGGTGGGCGTGGCATGCAGCATCACCGCCAGCACTGCGCCTGTCCCTCTTTCTTTCCTCCCTCTTTTTCTCCCTCCATTTCTCCCTCTTTTGAGGGAAAAGCTACCGATAAGAGGTCGGAAAGGGCAACAAATCGGAAAAATCCCGGGTTAGGCAAACACAGCTCCGAGGGGTTTGCCCGTAAGTCATGTGAGGGGGGGGGGAATGGAAACGGGTGGTTTCCTGCTAGCTCTGTCGGTGGTAATGGTAATTCTCGTATCTGACGACTAATCGTTCACTTTCTGCGTGGTTCGCCCAATCATCGGGCTGACTGTAACGGCCGTGGTTCGGCTTATGGTTGCGTCGGTGTCGAGCTGGTTTGCGTTGGACACAGCCGTAAATTGTTCAAGTTGTATGCCACGTATCCTCTGTTCCTCACTTGGCCACTATTTGCCCAATCAGGGCGGTTTTTGTTTTGACAGTCGCGGCAGTCACGATGTGGTTACACGTTTCCCATTTCGTTTTCTGGCAAGTGCCATGTTCAAAATTGTTTCCCTTTTATGTAAATTCGATATTGTTTGGGATTTATACATCTGCTGTTTGTTTATCGTTTTTTATTGGATCTGGTAATGTCTATTATTTGTGTATACATTACCCAGTTAGTGACGCTACGCATCGGTATAACTCTCGTTGTGGTGTTAAATCCTTTCAGTTGCGGATGGTTGTTTCGCGTGTTTTGGCATTTTTTTCCTTGTATGTTTTGCCTTCAATTTTGTTTTAAAAGTGAACATTGACCAGGTTGTGTTTGTCCTTAGTACATACCACATATGCTGATGGCACAACGTTTGTGTAGATTTCAATATCATATGTATTATTATTGTAGATTTCCCTTTCCTGGCTTTCCTGTTGTTCAGCTTGAACTTACAGAAGAGGTTTTTTTACCCGTTTGTTTTGTCGTATACTACATTGCCGTTTATGAAGGGTACAAACAGGCCACACGTGTGTTTACCGCCAAATTTTCGTCAATGCTAGTTTTCTGACACTGCGCTTCTTTTCGCGAAGCGCAGCGCTTCGCAGGTCGTCATTTTTGCACGTAACATCTCTCGTGCCTCTCTTGTGAGGCACATGCCTCTTGGAATGCAAGGGCTCACTCGTCAGTTATGCTCGGCGTTCTGACTCTGGAATTCCAATTTCCAGAGTACTGTATTTTCTGGTACACAAGCAATCATCAACTGTTTGACTTCTCGCAGTCACGGATATCGCCTTGCTTAGTCCTGCGCGTTAAGTACTGAATTTGGACTTGGGGCTTAATATTAGCGAGATTATTCACGAGTTGGCGGCTTTTTTACCATCAAGACGACACCTCACTGGTGAGGTTCTTAGCTCCACGATCTACACGTCGCATTCGCAGTCCCCGTCGCATTAGTACCGTCGCCTTCGAGCACCCCGTCGCCTTCGTTTTCCTCGTCGCATTCGCATCCCACTGCGCTCTCGCTTTCCCCCGTCGCCCACCTTTCCCCCACCGCATTCGCCTCCCCCGTCGCCTAGTACGCAGCTCACGTCGCCTTCCTTCCCCCGTAGCTTTCGCAGGCCCCGTTGCGCACGCTTGCCCGGTCGCCTTCGAAGTCCCCTTGCTCACGCTTCCCCCGTCACCTTCGCTTCTCACTTCGCCTTCGCTTATCCCGTCGCCTCGCAGCCCCAGTCGCCTTAGGTCCTGTCGCCTTCGCAGCTCCAGTCGCCTTCGCACCCCCCGTCGCATTAGCTTCCCCCATCGCATTCGCTCCCCCCGTCGCATTCGCTCCCCCCGTCGCATTCACTTCCCCCGTCGCCTTCCCTATTAGCGTCGCATTCGCTTTTCCCGTCGCCTCTGCTCCCCTCGTCGCCATTGTTTCCCACCGTCGCCCTCGATTTGTACTCGTACACTTCGCCTCCCCCGTCTCTTCCGTCGCTCCCGTCGCATTCGCATCCCCCGTGGCTCGCTTTCCCCCGTTGCCCACTCTTCCCCATGTCGCCTTCGCATTCCCCGTTGCATTCGCATTCCCCGTTGCATTCGCATTCCCCGTTGCATTCGCATTCCCCGTTGCATTCGCATTCCCCGTTGCATCCGCAGCTCCAGTGGCATTCGCTCCCCCCGTCACATTCGCTCCCCCCGTCACATTCGCTCCCCCCGTCACATTTGCGCCCCCCGTCACATTCGCTCCCCCCGTCACATTTGCGCCCCCCGTCACATTCGCCCCCCCCGTCACATTTGCGCCCCCCGTCACATTCCCGCCCCCCGTCACATTCGCGCATCCCGTCACATTCGCTCCCCCCGTCACATTCGCTCCCCCCGTCACATTCGCGCCCCCCGTTACATTCGCTCCCCCCGTCACATGCGCTCCCCTGTTACATTCGCTCCCCCCGTCACATTCGCGCCCCCCGTCACATTCGCTCCCCCCGTTACATTCGCTCCCCCCGTCACATTCGCTCCCCCTGTCACATTCGCGCCCCCCGTCACATTCGCTCCCCCAGTCACATTCGCTCCCCCCGTCACATTCGCTCCCCCCGTCACATTCGCTCCCCCCGTCACTTTCGCCCCCCCGTCACATTCGCTCCCCCCGTCACATTCGCTCCCCCTAGCCTCTGCTCCTCTCGTCGCCATTGCTTCCCACCGTCGCCCTCGATTTTCCCCGTCGCCTTCGCCTCCCCCGTCTCTTACGTCGCTCCCGCCGCGTTCGCCTCCCCCGAGGCGAGCTTTCCCCCGTTGCCCACTCTTCCCCTTGTCGCATTCGCTTCCCCCGTCGCATTCGCATCATCGCCGCGACGCGCATAGCTGTGCAGGCCAGGGTTGCGAATTTGCCACCAGCGTCTACCCATGCACTGCTTCTCTACTGTGTCAACCTCAACCCTCCCGCATTGCTCCTCACTCCCCCGATCCTCCATCTCGCTCATCCCACCCCTTTCAATCCATCTTCCCGTCCATCATCCATGCCCCCCGATCCTCAGAACCATTGCAGGATGGCTTATAATTGCACACTATGCCTGGCTGAAGGATTTTCTGGCAGGGGCCCCCTCAAAAACCACCAAAACAGTGAGGCGTGTCGAATCGCCACAGCCAATCGCACTCTGCACCAAAACGTTACACGCACTATGCACATTCCACGCACAGCACAAGCCACCATGCCCACACCTTCGTTGTCCATCAACACCCCGCCATCTCCTGTGCATGAGCCCCAACCGCCCCCACCTCATAACCCACTCCCCACCAACACGCAGCCCGACCCCCAAACAGAGGAGGAGGTGCAAGCTGAAGGTGTAAGTGATGTTGTGGCTGGCGTGGAAGGTGAGAGTGTGGCCTTTAATTTCGCAGACGCATTTGCACACTTCCTACTTACGTGCAATCTGTCTAAGAGTGCGATAAACAACCTCCTCCACATCTTGAACCTTGGGGATAAATTTAAAGAGGATGTTGTCGTGTTCCGCAATGCGCGAGACGTTGAGAAATACGTCGATGAGCGTGTGCCAGATCCCCATCGTAACTGGAGACGAGGAGTTGTGCGTGTGCAAAGTAAAACCGCATTAGAGTTTTTCTTCTGTGATGGGGTATTTGGAATGATTGATCTTTTGACGCATCCCAAAAACGCTGAAAAACTGGTTCTAAAACCCACATCTCGCAACGTCGGTGAGACACATGTGTACTCGACACCTGAGTCGGGCGATTGGTGGTTTACTATGCACAGCGAGGTACAAAAGGTTGACCCTGAAGGTGTCGTTGTTGCTCTGATCTTGTCGAGCGACGAGACTCATATGGACCAACGTGGCAAAGCCAAATGTCATCCTGTTTATCTGACATTGGGTAATATAGATAGGCATGACCGTTGGCAGCCATGGGGACACGTATTGCTTTGCTACTGGAGTTCACCTCAGAGTATGACTCTGTGGATAGGTTGGTAGTTTTCCAACACATTCTCGCAATGGTTATGGAACCATTGAGGAAAGCATCCCACACAGGGGTCAAGGTGCGCGATCCGAGTGGTGCAACCTACACCGCGTACCCTGGTTTGTATGCGTACGCGTGTGATTATCCCGAGTCATGCAAGGTGACTTGCACGAAATCGGGGGCTCTCACAAGTCATCCGTGTTCGTTGTGCACAGTCCCTGTTGCGCAGACCAACAAATTCATCCATCGCATCATCCCTCGCACGCCACTACTGCAAAAGGGCATAACCACCCTTTTGCAAAACAAAAGCTACCCATCGGGACTGTCAAGTATTTCAACGCACCCGGTTCCTTGTTTTCTGTGGGGTTGGCGTTGGGAATCTATACCCATTTTGAACCCATACTTATGCGTCATGCCTGATATCATGCACCAGGCTGATCTGGGGATTCTCGTGCACATCCTTGACATTTTGCGCGCGAGCCTAACTACCGCCCAAAAACGGATTGCAGACGATAGGCTTGCAGACTTGCGGTTGCACAATTGCAATCCTTTCATGCGCTTGTCTGGGGGCGAGTATTTTTCGGCGGGAGCGAGCTACCAGGCATATGAGCATAGAAGTGTTATGCAAGTCCTCCCCTTTCTTGTGTGAGGATTTGAGCCCATAGTCCCGCAGACACAAATGGATGCCATCGCAACGTACATCGACTGGTACACCTACTGTGCGCGCACGAGTGAGCACACGATGGCAACACTGCGTGATTTGAAGCACAAGGCCGAGAGGTAACCCTTTACTCGCCTCACCGCCAGCAATAATGATCCTACTTGGTTGTTGTCAACATCTTACTCCACTCTTGTCCATGCCTGTATGCACCCATGTGTTCCACCCGTTATTTAAAACCTTGCTTTCACGTAGTCACGCCTTGAACAGGATGATCAGTGCTCTAGTGACTGCATTTCCAACGCAGTCGTCAAAGTGGAGGTTCATTAAGATGCATCTGATCAGCCATTACATAGACTCGATACGGCGCACGGGTTTGCCCGAGCACTACTCCACTCAGATGTTCGAGCACCTGCATATAGAGTACATCAAGAACCCATACCGCGCCTCGAACCGGCGTTCAGCAACGTCACAAATCATGAACAGCGAGGTCATGCGACTGCGCCTAGAGTCGATTGCACCAACTCTCGGCAAGCGTAAATCATACGACACGTGCATGGCTGAGGTGAGCATGTTGTTGGAGACCAGGGTAGTCACTTGCTGCCAAGCATGACATTCGTTTACGACACTAATCCATTCTCCTTCTCAAAACCTGCAGGCGCAGAGAACAGGGGATAGGGTGCTGACCCGCGAGAGTTGGAGGCTGTTGGTGCCTCACAACCGGCGCGAGGCACCTTACGTTGTGCCATTGACACCTGATGTCAGCAGGGATTTGGAGTTCTCTTCTGCGCTATCTGCTGACTTACCTTTCCTACGCGGCGCACTTAACATCGCCCCTGGTTGCACGGGGCGCACCATCGACACAATCCACGTAAGACCTTCTGAAGCATACAGTGGTGAAACCCTTGTGTTCGGTATTGCCTAGTTTCCTTGCTGGTTTTCCGGGCAGCCACTGTGAATCCTCACCTCTCATCACTCTACCTGCTTCTCTGCCCTCAAACCACCCCCCACTCTCAAGGCACTACCAGTGTGCACCACACGGGAGCAATCTAGTACCCTTGCTGGTTTGCAGGGCAGCCACTTTCCATCTTCACCTCTCATCACTGTACATGCTTATTTACCCTCAATCCCACCCCCACTATCAAGGCCCTGCCAGATCACACTTAACGGGAGCAACCGAGTACCCTTGCTGGTTTTTTCGGAATGCTACTTTGAATCCTCGCCTCTCATCACTCTACCTGCTTCTCTGCCCTCAAACCACCCCCCACTCTCAAGGCACTACCAGTGTGCACCACACGGGAGCAACCTAGTACCCTTGCTGGTTTTCAAGGCAGCCACTTTCCATCTTCACCTCGCATCCCTCTCCATGCGCCCTAATGCGTACACAACCCCCATCTCACAGGTGCACAATGGGTTGGCAATACCTGCCGCTGTTGATGCGGCGTTCAGCAGGCTACCTCATCACGTCCGAGCAGCTCCGATGTTTCATGGTCGACCATGGTTCTCCAACATTGCAGTTGTTGGACAGGATGACTCTGGAACAACGGAATGGTACGCCAAGTTACTGATACTATTCCAAGTTCGCATTGGAAGGTCGCTGGTGCCATATGCGTTCATAAAGTATTATAACTTGGCCCCAACCAAAGATGTTGCAACTAGCTGCAAAATGCTGCTATGGGAAACCTCTGGCGATCGATATCGTGTGATTGGAGTAACAAGTATCCTAAGGGCTGTAGAACTGGTCCGTACAGCGCCAGATGAGGATGTATGGCTAGTTAATCGATTCATGTTTTGACTCTACCGATCGGGGATGCATTTGGCAATAACTGACGTATCTAATCCACTTCAAACTCCCAAATATTTTTGGTCCACCTCAACACTTTAGTATATACTGGTCACTCCGTCGGATTGTTTCATTGCATCATCTTATTCTTAGACTTACACCTGTGCTATACATTTGCTAAACCATGAATAAAAAAAACAGATATCCATACAAACCCAAACCTACCAGTAACAAGCATAATGTTATATTTTTACTTCTAAGGTTTGTACCAACATGCAGTATTTACTTGTGTAGGTTGTTCAGGATATTGGAGCCACGAAACAGTGAACAAACTTTGCAGGTCGGCGAGAGTGAATTGCGGAGTCACGCGATGCCATTCACTGCTGTGCTGCCGTGGGACGCGCTGTGATTGTCGCGGATGTATGAGTTGCCCGGGCCGCGCTAAATGGTGTTCGTGTTTCATTTTCCACACCATGCGTCAATCGGGTACCCAACTGTGAACGAACCCACTTCTCAAAAAGGTTCGTAGTACCCATATTTACATTTCTACCGAATACATTTCTAGTCGACACCTTTTGGCAGGCATGCCGGTCCAGAAAATTTTTAGAATTCTCTGACGTGTGACTCCCAAAACACGATCCGTAACAACATTTATCTCCCAACGGACCGCCACGACCCTGTCCCACGGACCACCCCGCCCATATCAGCCAATCGCAGACGTCACCGAATGCTAGTTGGCAAAACAGATGAATGTGCGTGGCTAAACTGAGGTGAGCATGTTTCGCCAGCGCTAGCAAAGATGCAGCCGAGGCCTGAACCCAACCATAACATCGCACCACCGAACATGCAGTCTGGAACTTCGTTTGAAGGGTGTGTTCATGGGGGTTCCTGAAAAATGCTGCCCGACCACCGTCCTGCTGGACGGGGATGCTTGGAACATCCAACCGCCGCCTCCGCTGACACGACTTCATATCTTCTGGAAGCCTCCGCCTCCAGGAAAATTTTCGCCGTTTTTTCCCGTCATGAGGTAAGCTGGTTGCTCACTTTCGTGTTCCTCGTTTTCTTTGGTTGGTGTGCAGGTTTGTGTTGCTGTTGCGCTGCCCCGTTTCCTGCCCCATGCATCTCCACGCTTGGGACCTCTGCTGGCCTCTGCCGCAAATCGGACCCGTCCTTTGCACCGTTGGCAATTGGGCTGACTCAGCGCACTCGTCGCAATGAGTGCCCTCTGCACCGCTGGCTCCTTGGCGTTCATGCATCTGGTGGTGCTGTCGCCGTCGGCCACCTCCTCCTGCTCCAGGGCCCGGTGTGGTCCCTGACGGTCCCTCTCGAAGCTGTGCATGAGCTCCTTTCTTGCTCTGCCTTTCCTGCCACTTTGTGGTGCACCGGCTCTCTCCCTCTCACGACGTGTCTCCCTCGACTTCTGGTGCTCTGTTCTGTGGACCGAGCTGGGCCCTCACGCCCTCCCTCGTTTGGATACCATGCCGGCGTTTGCGCCCTCAAGCGCTTACGCCGCGCCTCTCTGGACGGGCCCTCAAGCCCGTTCCAGTTGATCGAGTCGATCGCGCCTCGTTCGCCTCGCCCTGTTCTGCTTCCCCCCCCTCTTCCTCTGTTTTGGCTTTCGTCGTGTTTGCCTCTTTCTCCCGTTCTCGCTCCTTTGGTGTGTCCCTGCACGATGGACTCCCAGATGATGCTCGATGTTGACCTTGACGTCTCTGATCATGCGCTATAAGATTTCTTTGCAGTAAGCGAAGAACTTCAGTCCAAACGCCCTCGTGACGACGACTCTTCCTCTGTTTTCTCCCACCCTCCCAAGCGTGCCTCCTCTCCCGCCCCTGGTGCAGTGATGGCGGATCCGATGCAAGCTGAGCCTGAGGTCCCGCCGCCGCGTCCTGTTGCCTCTCTTCCGCCACGAACCCCTCTGCCCCCTCGTGCGACTGGCGGTGTACGCGCGGCGGTGTCGTCTCCTGTGTTGGGTGCGACTGGCGCCCAGCAGGAAACCGAGTCTTCGGCAGACGCGCCGTTCCCTCCCCCCCCTCCGACATCTGCCCCTGTCACCTCCGCTCCTGTCCCTGCTCCTGTTACCCGTGCTGCGGCCCTTCGTGCACGAAACGCCCTTCTGCGCCGCTATACCGACGCTGTCCTTGAGACTGTCACCAGGGATCCGGCGCTCACCGTCACCATCCTGATGGAAGAGAAGTTCGCTGCGGAAAAACTTCGGTCTGCGATTCATCTGGCGATCATGGCGAAATTCCGTGACGAGCAATTCCCCGGTGGCGTGATTCCCCTCTACGAGACCTCGGCTGGCGATCTGCTTAAGTTGCCTCGCGCCTCCTACGGGCGGCAGCTCTACGCCTGGCCGACCGCCGCCGATGCTCGTGTCTTCCGTGACTCTTTTCCCATGCGTGTTCGCCTCGCTGATGGGCAGCATGTTGAGCTTCGTGTTTTTCACGAGACGTCTCCTGGCTTCGCCTCTGCGAAAGCACAGGGTGCGACGACGATCCTGGTTCGTAACCTCCCGGATAACTGTGACATCGCCCGTGTGCGTGATAAGCTTCTTTCTGGCAGGTCCGGCGGGCACAAGTGGCTGGCCACGCTGGAGCATTTTCATCGTGTCAAGAACCCGTTTACGGGTTTCGATTGGCCTCAGTTCGCCGGAATCGTCACGCCGGTCACTGGAGATCCGGACTTCGCTTTCCTCCCTCCTGTCCTTCTTCCCCCTAACCCTCTCCTGGGCGACCCCATGTATGTGCACCTGTCGTGCCATACCTGCGCCATCTGCGCCAGCAACCATCGCACCATTGATCACGAAGTCTTCGCGGTGTATCGTGCTGGCAAAGCTCCCAACCCGTCCCAGCTGACGGTCCTGCAGCTTCAACAGCACAATGGTACCGCCTCTCTCGCCCCGGTGTTTTTCTCCTTATGTTGTGCCCCTCTTCTTCCATTTCCGCTTTTCTGCCTCCGAATGTTACGCCTCTGGTCTTTTGCTCGCCCCTCTATTGCCTTGTCTGCTCTTTGTCCCCTCCCCCTCTTTATGCACCTTCCGGCTCTGCTTGGCTGGATGGCCGTCTACCCTGGGCGCTGGGCCCCGGTCTACTTCCCCCTTCCTCCCTGTTCTTCTGGCCCCCTTCCTCTGCTTGCCTTTTCACTCTGCCCCCTACCTCAGGTCAGAACCTTGGTCAGACGCCGGCAATCATGGCCGTCCGTGCGGATCCTGGACTCCTGCTCATCGGCATGGAGTACGCCGTGGAGCCCTGGACCTGCTCCCTCTGCGACTTCGTCTGTGGCCCAGCGTTGGATAGCGCCCTGGACCATCTCCGCTCGGCGGAGCACGTCTCCAAGCTCAACAGCCCGGAGGGCGTGGTGGTTCCCCGCCTCGCCCAAGGGAACCAGAAAGCGGCGCGACTGGTGCAGCACCCTACTGTCGCCGCCTTCCTGGCATCTCAGGCCATGGCCTCTGAGGAGTAGTTGCCTCTTTGTTCGCAGACATACCTTGTGTGTCTTCTGTAGACTCTCCTCTGTATGGTTGTATCAGTACATAATACAATCGGATTTCAGTTGTAACATATTCTTGGTGGGGGATGTACCACAGTTTCATATATTAGTTTATGCCCTGTGGATGGGTATGCTACGGCATATCAGGGCGTTTGCATTTCCTCCATGAAAACCCCCCTACGCATTACAAGCATTAACATCAATGGTCTTAGCACTACTGCTAAAATGAACTTGTTTCGCGCATGGCTAGTTCACCCGCCTGACATCCTCATCCTCATCGACACCCGTGTCACGACCACTTTCCGCGAGCTCTTGTTTAATTTTAAGCCACGAGCGTACGCACATTCTCCGCCCTCTGTAGTCGCTGGGAGAGTACGACCGGGCGGTATCATCGTCCTAGTGTTTAACAAGCGCATCACCATCACTGAGCGAGCACCCTCCTCGGACAATCGCCTCCTGCGACTTCATCTCAGCTTCCTCCAGCTGCACCTGGGCTTGGTCGCAATATACCCCTCCACCCATGCGTCTGACCGTAGACGCTGGTGGAACGACACTCTGCACCCCGCCCTGACCGCCTGCACCAACTGTGACGGGATCATCTTGGCAGGCGATTTCAACGCTGTTACCGACCATCTCGATCGTAACCGTCCCCTTCTGCAGCATGAGCTAAGCGAAGCCAGCATCCTTAACACCCTCCTCAACGCACACGGTCTCGTTGACTCCTTCAGAATCCACCATCCCTCTCTCCCCTCTTTCTCTTTTGTTTCGCATGCCCGCGCTGGTTTGGCGTCCTGCCCGGCCTCTCGCCTGGACAGAATTTGTGTCTCACATGGCTGGCTCTCCCAGCTCCAGTCGGCTGACCTGGTCGCCATCTCCCCCCAACTCTCCGACCATTTCCAACACCCTGTTTGCACCATCCTTGTTGACGACCCCAATACAGCCCCTAGACCCTGGAGGTTTCCGCACTCTCTCCTTCGCAAACACTGCGTTCAAATCCTTGTCCAGAAAGCTGTAGACTCCCTCCCTCAGCCGTTGTCCCCTCTTGGGTGGGACAGTTGGAAAGCCCGCCTTTGTGCCTGCCTTCGGTCATTCTCCTCGGAAGAACGCACCCGTGTCCGCAAGACAATGACGCACCTCCAGTCGGTCGTCGCTACGTGCCAACTCTCCCTCCTGCACTTTCCCCATAACCCCCTTATACAGCACCGTCTACAGCAGTCTTCCAGACAGCTGGAACAGTATCTGTCCTCTCGTGCCGCTGATATCGCCTTCAAAGCCAAGCTCAAAGTGGAGGGGGCCCGTGAGATGGGTGTCCCGTCTCTCCTCAGTAGTCTCAATTCCCATATCAAGGCCTCGCAAGTCTCCGCGATCACACTCCCCTCTGGCCGCCTCACCTCCAACCTCAGCGAAATCAACGCCCATTGCACCTCCTTCTTCTCCAGCCTCTACGGTGCCCCTCCCCAACCCGCTCGTCCGTCGGATTTCTGGCGTCACCTCCCCCCCTCGTCCCCACCGTCAGCTTTGCTTCTTCCCTTAATGGCGCCCTTCTCGCTTGCCGAAATTGATCGTGCAATGGCCTCTCTCGCCCCTGGCAAGACGCCCGGCAGCGATGGCCTGCCCGGAGATTTCTTCCGCACTTACCGTGCTCTCCTCGGTCCGGTCTTCCATCAACTCTTCGCGTCAATCTGGCGCTCCCAGTCGTTGCCCCCCTCTATGAGAGGCGGCCGCACTGTCCTCATCCCCAAACGACAGTCTTCCTCAATGGTCGAGGATCTTCGCCCTATTACGCTCATGAATGCTGACTACAAAACCCTCGCCATCTGCCTCGCCAACCGTCTTCAACCTGTTCTGCGCCACATCATCCACCCTGCCCAGACAGCCTTTGTGCGCGGTCGTAGCATTGGCGATACGATCAATGACACTCTCGATTTAATGGAATGGGCAGTTGCCCGCTCCGTACCCCTCCTCGTACTCACAGTAGACATCCGCAAAGCCTACGACCTGGTAGATCGAGAGTTCATGTACCAGTGTTGGTCCTATCTAGGCCTGCCTTCCGACTTCATCACTTGGGTACGCCTCCTCCACACTGACACCTCCACCCGGGTATTGGTCAATAATCATCCAGGACCCGACTTCCCGGTCCACTCTGGCGTCCGTCAAGGCTGCCCCCTAGCCCCACTCTTGTTCATCTGTGTCATCGAGGTCCTTCACCGCCATCTGTCCTCTGCCCTCCCGGGTTTCGCCTTCTCCACCCACCAACGGCGTCTGGCAGCATGCTATGCCGATGACATTTCAATTTTCCTCAACTCAGACTCCGAACTTCACACTGCCTCCCAGCTTTTGGACTCCTTTGCCCTGGTCTCCAGGGAACAGCCTAACTGGAATAAGTGCTCCATCCTCCCCTTCAATATCCCGCATCAGCAGATTACGCACGCAGGCCCCATTCCGGTGCGCCAACCTGAAGACGCTGAACGTATTCTGGGTGTGTTTGTTCAGCATTCCCAACCCGGAGTCAGGACGTGGGAACAGATTCTCGCCAAAGCCTCATCCACCATCGCATTTCTCTCTAAACTTCACCTCACTGCTTCGTGTCGCGCTGCCCTTGTCACTGAGAGGGTCATCCCCCTGATTGCCTTCGGCGGCCGCTTTCAGCCTCCTCCCCCTCGCTTGCTTAAACAGCTGGACATGCTCGTTGGAAATTTCCTCTCCGCCAGCAAGCATCACTCCACAGGCCTCGTCTCCCGGCTTCTCACCAAACGCATCCTCTATAATAAAAAACAACACGGTGGGATCGGCGGACTTGAACCCTCGCAGTACGTATCTGCCCTCAACGTCCAGCGAGCCTGCCGCCGCTTCCGGCCCACCCCGTTTGAGGACATTGCGCGGAGCTGCTCCACCCTGCCTTTCGGACTCCATTGCTTCCTTCTCCATCCCCTCATCTTGAGAAGTCTCCCTGTCTCCACCCCCCCTCGTGCCAGGGCTGAACTTGAGTCCTTCCTGGCCATGTCCCCGCTCATACACCCCCCACGCTTGGAGCCTTGGGTCTTACTGGCAGAACCTCTCCCCTTTAATCGTTTTCTCCTTAAGCCGGACGGGCAACCCTTTGGTGGTCTCAAAGAAGAACTGCCTCTCCTCACCCTCCAACTCCGCCTCGGACATCTCCTCACCCCCACAGAGTCTGGTCTTCGTCGCCTCTCCAGAGTTGAAATTTTCCGTCGATTCCCTACTGCCCGTTTCCCCTGCAGCAGACGTATCCTCACTGCCATTACCGAAGCGGTTCCTCTGGACTGGTGGGAGGTCCTCCTCCCTTTTCAACGCCCTCTGGGATCCTTGTCTGCAGGAGATTGGACTGTCCCTGTCTCCCCTCCTCCCCTCTCTCCCCCTCAACTACTACAGGTTCGCGTTACACTCCCAGGCGGTCTGGTGGTAGCAGATAGGTACGACATCAGCTGTAGACGTGTAGGTAGGGAGCCCGTCAGCTGCTGCGTCGTCCCCGAACGTGCCCTGCTCACCATCCTCGTCCGTGACAGATGGATCCATGGACCCTTTTGCTCCGGTGCTGGGTTAGCCGATCGCATAGACCTGCTCCGCCCAGGACCACCATCCTTAGCAGTCCTTCGCAAACAGTTCTACCGCCCTCAGCCGCTCTCCCTACAGGAAGCCTGGTCGACTGCGTTACAGCTCCCTGTCCCTGCACTGCCCTCGCTCACACACCCCTTCCTCCGCGAGCAGCCCAGTCGATCCCGCGACCTCCTCCTCCGCCTTTTTGCGCGTGCCCTTCCCACAGGTGCCCGTTTCCGTTTCATGGAAGATGGTGGCAGCTGTCGACGCTGTCCACCAAGACCCCTTGAGACCCTCCTACACGTCTTCAATGAGTGTGGCCCAGCGGCGACAGTCTCAGCGGCTCTCTGTCGGGTGGCACGTTCGCACCTGGGAGTGGCTGTCCCGGCTCCGCTTGTGTTCTTCCCTCTCTCCCACCCTGCTGGACAGATTGCACCTTGGTGCTTGTTGGTGGGCGCTGCTGCCAAGACCCTCTGGGATGAGCGCTGTGCAACTGTACATCAGCGCGAGTCTTCCTCAGCCATCTCCATCCTGCACCGTGTCTTAGGAGCTTTCCTTTCCGCTTGCAAGCTTTTCTTCTGGCAGCGGAAAAAGCGTTCGATCAAATTCCAAAGGGCAACGGCATCCAGGGTTCGCTACGCCCAGTCTCTCCGCCTTCTGTGCTTTGACTCTTCTGAGTACCCTTCACTACACCCAGCACTACAACGGACCTGGCTCCTGAACGACCCCTTCCGCCCCCCCTGAACGCAGCATCCTCATCTAGCCCTGGTACCGGCCATCAGGTGGTCCCTGGTGCCAGCGGGAGTCCCGCTGGGCAGCTAGCACGATACAGTGCAGGTTGTTTTTACGACCTTGATATGTTATCATTGCTGCTGCTTGTATCAAATGTATTGGTTACGACCATCAATAAAACTTAAAACTTAAAACCAACCATAACATCGCGGAAAAGGCTTTGGGCCCGAGTATCCGAAAACGGGGTACTCTTCCGAAATGTTGCGGTAATGTATACCAAGGTTTCCAAAAAACACACAGGGCAATCCGCACCCCTAATCCCACACAAGGGACTCGCCACTGCCGAGTCGCGCCTCCTTGGCGGGACAACGAATGTCCCGCCAATTCCCTCGGAAAACGCAGCGCACATTGCAGGCATGCAGCGGTTGCGCGGCCCGGACAACATGTGGTCCAATATACGCGACATTGCATGTCCAACTGCACACCAGTATTGGGTGCCCTGCATAACAACCGTCCACAACACTTGGGAAGTGAGTACACCACTTCAACAAACACTACACGAATTGTGCATCCAAAACTTCATCAGCACAGTTATGAATGAACTTGCAGAGTGCGCAGAATATCGAATAACGAGAATGAACTGATTACTGAATTCTTGAATGATACAATGAGAAAAGCACGACTAAATAGGGGAAGTCCTAGCTAGGCGGAGAGGTTGGGCGAGGATGGCTCGGTGATGGTTGCGATTGGAGCGGAGGCGACTCGGGAGTGGTTCGGTGCGACGAAATAGGAAGGACAGGTTTGTCGCGTGACCCTCGGGATGGCCTCGCTAACGAGTGCCCCAGTAAGGATTCTGTAAATCCTTACACTCTCCCACCTTCTAATTAAGGCAGTCCTGTACGGAAACAGGCCCCACACTAGCGAGGATTCCGTAGATCTCCTCTTCAGCTGAATCCGACGGCCGAAATGCCTTCGATAATATTTTTTGAAAAGGTTGGAATGTAGGCCGTTGATGAAGTCCGATCTTGATCTGACGGTCGAAGATGAACTAGCCCAAAATGAAGTTGAAGTTGGAATGTGGGCCGTTGATGAAGCAGATGTGGATCTGACGGTCGAAGACTGACGCGAGATTGGAGGGAACCTGTCGACGCGAATTCAAACACGATTGAGCAGGGACCGTTGATCGTGTCGGTGTGATCGCGATCGTCCGTCGTGCTGACGCAACCTGACAAAGTCAGAAAGGACCGAGAAAAACGCCGAGAGAAAGGAAAGAACAGTGCAGCGCACTTTCTCCCCCCCCTCCAAGAAAGCACACCGGAAAATGTTTCACAGCTGCGCCGAGATGAAAACCAACAAAAAGCCTGGCGTTAAGTCTCACGAAGAAGAGTGTTGAGCGGAAAGTTGATGATGAAATCGGGTGTGACGTGCCCAAAAAGTCTTCAAGGGCGAACCCGCGTAAGTAGACCAGAAACCGGGGCGGAAAATTATGCGTTGCTCGAACAGAACCTGTGTTGCCTTCACTATCCAGAATCAGCCGATATCTTCAGCAGTTGCAGTTGGCAGCACCTGACGTGGTTGATATTGAATGCAGTTGTCGTGGGCGAGTCGAAGGCGAGTTGTCGGTAGCAGAGTTAGAATGGCTTCGCCAAGAAATTTGTCGTAATGCGCCGAGAGTTCGAGGGCAGGGATGAAATTTTACAGCTATCGCTCCCCCCCGTCACTGTTGTTGCCGCCTTCTTCAGTTCGTCGTAAGTCGTTCGTACCCCTTGAAAACTCCGTGTAGTTTCCGCGGTGTTGCCCTGCGTAAATGTCGCGCGCGTTTAACCAAACGCCGAATACTCCTCCGAAATTGTTGCCGCTTCTCGCCGTAAAACCTGTGAAGTCCCGCGTAAACTCCGAAAATGTCGTTTGAACACAACCCCGAAAATCCGCAGATGCAGGTGCAGTTCTCCTCCGAAAATCTCGGTCGTTCTATAGCCGCCCACCCGGTCACCATCAGTTTCCTTCGGTTACCCGACCCCAGCGTGTGGGTTCAATCGAGAACCGGGGACTGCCCTGGGTCTTCCGAGACCGAATTTCACGGAACCTAGTGGCATCAACGCCGTTGACCCCGTCGTCGAAACTGCTCCCGCCGATAGGTTTAACTGAAAACCACGCAAAACTCCCACTGACGCTTTGCAGACGTTTCATCCATCGCTCGTCGCCGGTAGGTAAATCCAAAAACTTCGGCTGCTCCCACGCTCCCTTTTTATTGAAGAATTTCCCGTGGTGTACGTTTAAACACCAGTGGGTTCTAGGTATCCCCGCCGCTGTGTTTCTTGCCAGGCGACTTAAAAGTGACCCTTCAGGCGAAGTCCCCCAACGGCTCAACCGCACTCCAAGAAGCGAAGAAACACCCTCAGCTTCAACTTTTTTTTTTTTTTTTTTTGTAGGAAAAGTCACCCGAAAATCATGGTTGAGGCAGCAGTCCCGAAGTTATTCTCCGCCGTGTAGCCCCGACGTTTCCGCCGTTTTTTCCCTGGTACTCCGATGTTCACCCATCTTCATACCCGTCGGAACCACTTAGCGAATCCCAGGTATCATTGGCAATGTACCGCTCGCCGCGCCTCCATGTAACAATATCAAACCCTTTCGGGGGTCTACCGAATAGACTCCGAAATTCGCGGTGGATTGGTGCACGGGCTCAACCTCTCACTCAAGTGATCTGCTGGATCACCCACAACTTTCCCTCCGTCGTCATTTTTTCCATGTTCACCCCCCGACAATTCCGCTTCCCGCCGTTCACCCAGCGTCCGCTTTTGTCGGATGAGGTATAGTCATTGTTGCCCGCGCGAACTCGGCCACGTTGGAGAGGCAAAAACTATCGGAGTCGGGGCAGCCTTAGTTAAAAGGAAACTGTCGCCCAACCGTTTTGCAGCCCGCCGTGCCTATCACGCCACGAAATTTCCACAGCTTCCCGGTCTCAGCTTCGCCACTGCGCCGTCACCTCGTGTGTAGACGCCCGGGTCAGGAGAAACCTGTAAACTGCACCGATGTTATCCTCGCAGCTCCCCGACTTTTTTGCGTGCCGTTCACCCAGCCCGCTTTTGTCGGAGTAGAACAGTGCCGCGAACTCCACTTTTTTTGTATTTTCTGTGCAGCTGTCGAACGAGCACCAATCCAGGTGCCTTTAACCAGCACAGGGTAGGCACGTGTTTCTCAGAATCCCAACCACTAGACCATTGGGATAAAAGGGCTTGTTTCAGTAGCGGGTCAGTGCGCCCATAACCCCCCAGGCAAATGTGCCTGTAACCCTTCCCTAGGATCGATCGGGGATCACCAGTGGACCTCTGACACCCCCCCGCACTGGGATGCCCGAAGTGCATACACCGGGATTCGAACCCGAGACCTTCGCTCTGATACCATCTCAGAATCCCAACCACTAGACCATTGGGATAAAAGGGCTTGTTTCAGTAGCGGGTCAGTGCGCCCATAACCCCCCAGGCAAATGTGCCTGTAACCCTTCCCTAGGATCGATCGGGGATCACCAGTGGACCTCTGACAGTGTTCACCCCCGTTATTCGGCCAAGTAGGTTGACTGCATGAGTCAGAACGAGGACTTGGTGGGGATGGTGAGGTTCGGGCGAAGTAGGGCCGCAGATCGATTCCACCGGCTTTTAATCTGCTCCCCACGACGTTCTTCAACCCTCGCTTAGCCGTTGGACCGTTTCTGCCCGTGTGTCCCGGCAGCCTGTACCGACCCCTCCGAAATTGTCGGGCGGTACCTTGGACACCGTTTAATTGTGGGCTGTCAGCAGCTGTCCCCGAAAACGAATTCCCTCGACAGGAGAAACCGCTCTCGATACTGCCGGCCAGCTTGCAACAACACCAGGCACGCAGTGTCGTACGAGTTGTTTCCGAGGTGTACCTGCCTCGATTTCCCTCGCCGCCTGCGTCCCACTTCTGCTAAGTGCGATATGGCCACTCCGCTTTTTGTTGCAGCCCGTAAGTGTCGCGAGTCTGAAGTCCCGTCTGTCCACGAGCACTTCTGTCGAAATATTCGATGACGCGCCCACCATGCAGTAAAAGCCGCTGCACTTCAGGTCGGGCGGGACGACAGTTGACCCCGCACAATTTGGGCAATTCGCGTGTCGTCTC